AGGAGAGAGAAAGAATTTTAAGCACCAGGGTTAGTTGGGGTGACCGATAGTAGTAGTGATGGATGGCAACGGTGATGGTGGTGGTGAGTTTTGAGTGATGATGGTGATAGTGGTAGCCATAGATAATGGTGGTGGTGGGCGACGATGGTGGTGAACGACGACGGGTACTTCTGGGCACAATGTGATGGGTGGTGGTAGATGGTGAATGGCGGTGGTGGTGGTGGTGGTTGTAGGTCTGGTAAGGATGAGTGACAACGGGTAGTGACAATGGAGGTGAAGGTGGGTGACAGTGGCTGGTGGCAGTGGTAGTGATAATGGTGATGGGGTAGGGGGGGGATTGGTGGTGGGGTGACAGTGGTAATGGTAGTGATGATGTTAGTGGGGTGGCAGTGGTAATGGTAATGGTAATGGTGATGGTGGTTGGGTGATGGGGTAAGGGTGGAGGTGGGACTGTTCCAAACATTTTTTTTTTAAAGTATTTATGTAAAGTTATAAGTTTTAGAAACACTTTAAAAAAGTCACTTCAATTACACCCTTAGTAGCCTATTTTTCATATTAAATTTGGAGAGTTAATATTAACCATCAAAATAACTTTGAAATAAAATTTAAAGAGATCTCAACCACGAAAAATAAAAATTATTTTGTTTATCTTTTAAAATTTGAATTGTATTGTACTTTATTATATAGACTAGTTATTGCTCGTGCCTAAAGGCACAAAATAATTAAAAAAAATAGTCAACAATAAACATATTATATTCACATCTAAAATTAAATTACAAACATACATCTCAAGAGAGAAAGGAATTTAAGCACCAGTTGTAGTGGAGGTAAGCATTGGTAGTGGTGGTGGGTGGAGACAGTGATGATTGTGGTGGTCGGCGACGACCGTAGTGGTGGTGACAGTTGTGGATGATGGCAGTGATAGTGGTGGGCAACAGTGATGGTGGTGATGGGGGGACGACGGTGGTGGCCATGATGATGGTGGTGGTGGGGGGAGACTACGGGTGCTTCTAGGCGACAGTGTTATGGGTGATGACGAATGGCGATGGTGGCAAGTGTGGTAGGGGTAAGTGATAGTTGATGGCGACAGTGGTGGGCAATGATAGGTGGTGGTGGTATTTGGTGGTAGGTGTGGTGGGGGTGGGTGATAATGGTTGACAACAACGGTGGGCAACAGGTTATGGTGGATTGTGGTAGTAGTTAGTGGTAGGCAACAATAATGATGATGAGTTCTCAAGATGGGCGACGATGATTATGAAATAATGGTGATAGTGATAGTGATAATAAATATAATAATGAGATAACGATGGTGGTTGTTGGTGGCAGTGGATGACAATTATAGCAATCGGTGGTGAGCGACAATGGTGGATGATGACAATGGTGGTGGTGGTTGTTGTGAAAAAGGTGGTGGTGGTGGGATGGCAACGACAATTGTGGTGGTAGGGATAATTGTGGGATAGTGGTGGTGGTGGGGTGGCGACAGCAATGATGGTAGTAGTGGTGATGATGGTGGGGCAATTTGGGTGGTGGTCACAGTGGTGATAGTTGGGAGGTTTCAAACACTACTTTTTTTTAAAAAATTTATAGGAAGTTATAAGTTTTAGAAAAAATTTTGAAAGTCACCTCAAACACACCTTAGGGGCCTATTTTCCTTATTAAATTTAGAATACTAATATTAGGCATTAGATTAACTTTAAAATATGATTTAAAGAGATCTAAACCGTAAAAAGCAAAAATTATTTTCTTTATCTTTTGAGATTTAAATTTTATTATACTTTATCATATAGACTAATTATTGCTTGCATGCTCAACAATTAATCTATTTGTATTTATACTTAAAATTAAATCACAAATATAGAAGAGAGAGAAAGGAATATAAGTACTAATTGTAGTGGAGATGAGCGGTGGTAGGTGAGAGTGGTGGTGGTGGGAGACAATGATGGTTGTGGTGGGTGGCGACGACGGTGGTGGTGGCGGGTGATGACGATAGTAATGATGGGTGACGACAGGTGCTTTTAGGCAACAATGTGATGGGTGGTGGCAAATGACAGTGGTGGTAGGTGTGGTGGGGGTTGGTGACAATGGGTGGTGACAGTGATAGGCAGTGGTTGTATGTGTGGTGGGCGTGGGTGATAATGAGCTGGCGACAATGGTGGGCAACGATGGGTGGTTATGGGTTATTGTAGTGGTGGCAGTGGGCAACAACGGTGATGGTGGGTGCTAATAGTGGATGATGGTGGTAATGGGATATGGTGATAGTGATATTAAATATAAGAATGAGATGATGATAACGACGGAGGTGGATGACGATGGTAGCAATCAGTGGTGAATGGTGACGACAGCGGTGATGGTGGTAATGTTGATGATTGTGGGGGAGGTGGGTAGTGGTAGGGATGATAATGGAATAGTGACAGTAGTGGTAAGGTGACGACAGCGGTAGGGGTGGGGGTAGTGGAGATGGTGGTGGTGGGATAATTGGGGGTGGGAAAAGTGGGGATGATGGTGGGGGGGCGATGATGATTGTTGTGGTCGAGTTGGTGGTAAGGTGGCGGCGGTGGTGGTAGTAGTATTGATGGTGGGGCAGTGGTAATGATGGTGGTGGTGGAGAGGTCGTGGTGGTGGTGGAGATGTCGTGGTGGTGGTGGTGCAGTGGCAACAACGATGGTGGCAGTGACGATGGTGATGGTGGTTGTTGTGGTAGAGATGATGGTAAGGCGGCGACGACGATGGTAGAGGTAATGATGATGGTAATTGGGGTGGAACAGTGGTGGTGATGGTAGTGGTGGGGCGGTGGGGGTAGTGGTGGTGTTGAGGTTGCGACAACGATGGTGGCAACAATGGTGGTGGTAGTGGTAGTGGTGATGGTGATGGTGGGGCAGTGGGGGTGGTAGTGATGGTGGTGGTGCGACGGTTCCAAACATTACTTTTTTTTTTTTAAAAGTACTTATGGAAAGTTATAAATTTTAGAAGCAGTTTTGAAAAATCACTCCAAACACACCCTTAGGATCTTATTTTTCTATTAAATTTGAGATGTTAAAACTAGCCGTCGAATTAATTATAAAGTAAAATTTAAAGAGATCTCAACTGTAAAAAGTAAAAAAAAATTTTGTTTATCTGTTTAGATTTAAATTATATTGTACTTTATTACATAAACTAGTTATTGTTCGTGCTTGAAAACACGGAGTAATAAAAAAATAATCAACAATAAAAATATTTGTATTCACCCCCAAAATCAAATCTCAAACATTGAGGAGAATAAAAATAATTTAAGCACCAGTTGTAGGGGGTCAACAGTTGTAGTGATGGTGGGCGGCAATGGTGGTGATAGAAAACGGTGATGGTTGTAATGGGTGGTGATGACCGTGGTGATTGTGGCAGCCGTAAGTAGCAACTGTGATGGTGGAGGTGAATTTTGGGTGACGATGGTTGTAATGGCAACGATGGGTGATGACAATGGTGATGGGTGACAGTGATAGTGGTTGATAGTTATGGTGGTGGGGCTAAGATAGTGATGGTGATGGTGATGGTGGTGGTAGGTGAAGGTGGTGGGTGATGGTGAATGCTTCTAGGCGACAGTGTGATGGTGGTAGAACAGTGGTGGTGGTGATAGGGTGATGGCAACGTTGGTAGTGGTAAGGGGGATGGTGATAGTGGGTATAATGGTGATGGGGCGAAGAGGGGTGATGGTGGTGAGGTGGCGACAACGGTGGTAATGTTAGTGGGGCAACGGTGGTGGTGGTGGTGGTGGTGGTAGTAGTGGTTGTTGTAGCAGAGGGGGTGGTGGTGGTGGGAATGTTGATGATATTGGTGATGGTGGTGGCAGTAGCGGTGGCGATGGAGTGGTGAAGGGTGGTGATGGTGGTGGTGATAGGGCGGTGGAAATGGTGGTGGTTATTGTGGCAGAGGTGGTGGTGGGGTAGCGACGGTAGTGGTGGTTTTGGTAGTGGTGATGGTGGTGGGGGTGAAGCAGTGGGGTAGTGGTGATGGTGGTGGGGGTGGGGGTGAAGCAGTGGTGGTGGTGGGGCGATGGGTGTGGTGGTGGAGGCAAGGTGGCCGCAGTGGTGGTGGCGGTAATCGTGATTGTTGTGGTAAAGATGGTGGTTGGGTGACAATAGCGATGACGGTAGTAATAGTGATGGTGGTGGGGGTAGTACTGGGGTGGTGTTGGTGGGTATAGTTGTGGTGGTGGCGTGGTAGTAGAGTGACGTGATGGTGGTAGTGGTGATGGTGGTGGGGTAATGGGTATGGTGGTGGCAATGGTGGTTGCAAACACTTTTTTTTTTAAAGTACTTATAAGAAGTTATAAGTTTTAAAAATACTTTTAAAAAGTCGTCACAAAGACACTCTTAAAGGTCTATTTTCTCTTTTAATTTTGGGGTGTTAATATTAGTCATTAGATTAACTTTAAAGTAAAATTTAAAGAAATCTCAATCACAAAAATAAAAATTATTTTATATTTAAATTATATTGTATTTTATTATATGAACTAGTCATTGTTAATCCCTAAAGGCAGTATGTATCAAACAAAAAATCGCAAACAATTGCCCAACTTCAAAAGAAATGGCCGAAAAACATTAATATTAATTATACTTTTAAAATGGCCTAAAAGATACATCGATCATATTCTCAATATTAATGAAACTGTCTTGAAAATGAATAAAAAAAGTTCCCAAAACAACATCGCATATACAAATAACTCATAAAAAACCAAAAACTAATAAAATTTACAATTTTTAAGCATTGAATAAAATAAATAAAATTGTGTTCATTTATAATATATATGAATTCATCACTATTACCACCATTCAACCCAATGACATAAATTAATATAGTACTTTCAGGCACGGACATACGCACTTAGATTTTACACTGAAAGGCATAATGTCTAAAACGTGTACCCAAACTATATAGTCTTCCCTTGCCATGATAAGCTTCGCAAGTGTTCATAATCTCATGAAAAAAACATAATAAAATCAAATAAATGAGAGATATGATTGAATTTACCTAATGGCGTTGTAAACGAACCAGTACCTGAATAAAGTATGCTTTACCATCGTAGTGATCAGATCAACATAGCTGAAAAAAAAAAAAAGAAATGAAATTGTCCATAAAGAGGTTTTAATCACCGAAAGGAACACTTGCGCTGAATTATGAACACTTGTGCTTATAACATTAAGAGTTCTGTAATATCTGTATGACTGTTTTGAATGCCAAATAGGGTAATCAGACCATATATCAAGTAAGAATTTTTGTAAGGGAAAAAGAATGTGACAAAAAATTAACAATGCAGCTATAATTGAAAGACGCAAGCTTTCAGTACAAAAGTGGGGTGAATGATAAGTAAATAGATGTTCTATTAGATATTTAGAGTTAGAACACTTCAAGAAATAAAACCAAACATAGTAAAAGAAAAAAAAACAGTAACCCACAAAGTTTGGCATACCCAAGGTGATATACCCCACAACTCACGCTAATAGAATCAAAAAACCAATCCTGTCAAATTTTGTCAAAAATCAATCTTGCCAAATTTTTAATGACTCCATGGCCATTGCCCAATCTTGTGAAATTCATTGTCTGATAATGTCAAATACAACGCACGCAAAATTACAAAGAAGAAAAATATAGGCTATAAATAGGAACACAACCGATGTTCAAACCCTTGTATGGTTGACAATCAGAAACAATATCCAAATAGTGGTGAATCAAAAAATCAGCATGATATGAACACGATCAACTAAATATGAGAAAGAAAGCAAGGGAGAAGAATTAAGAGATGAACTGCAACAAAAATTAAATAAACAACTTCAATAAAGCCAAAATCAATCAAAACTAATTTTTTTACCACTCTAGTTGGTTGAATTGCTTGCAGTATTATTGTGAGGTTCCCATATAGTTAGACAGTTGGTTTTGCAATATTGGGTTCCTATAAAATATTCAAAACAATCTTAAAATTTTTTGCACTGTTTATAGCTGTGAATAAAAAGGAAGAAAAGAGTTTTGAAAAAAAAAAGAGTTGCAAAAGAGACTGAACTCAACTTTTGAAACTTCAATTCGAACCTTCGGACATGTAAGCCTAGTACACATTTTTTAACTCAACTAAGACATTGAACTTGATTGATGACGCATTTCATTACTACAAGGAACTTATTACCTTACTAAAAAATAAAAATAAAATAAAATAAAGAATAACAACCGACAGTCACATACATGGTTCTTTGCTTTATCTGAATAGTGTGCGCTACCATGGCGATAGCTGCAATTGCCTTGTCCAAATCGTTGAGCGCCTCAATTTCTTCCCCACCCTTAATACACAAATGCCGAAGAGTTGAAGACTTGCTTCTCTCCCCATATACTCCTTCAATGGTTTCCATGTTAAAATCCTCTAGGTAGTGGTAAGTTTAGCTACTGGACAAAGCAAGCAAGAAGTCTTTTTAAATTGTGATTCAGTTTTTTTAAGGGTGTCTTTCTAAAAAAAATGAAGATATAAGGAACGGAAATCCAACTCGGATACTCTTTCCCAAGCCACTATTAGATGACCTCAAAATAGTGAGTGAATTATAAAGTCCAACTGCAGCACATGGTTCATTTAGAAATATTGGCATTTCAGATATGCAAAAATGTACAAACTGGTATTCATTTTTAGTAGCCCATGAAATTCTCTGACAGCATTGAGAACTAAACAAATTCCTACCATGTTCTAATTGATATGTTTCATGTGAATGATCAGAGCAAATTGTTTTCCTACCAATAACATGAATATTGCTTTAAGGAAAAAGCAATGACGATGAGATAAATGCAATGGAATTTAGGACTTTTGTACACAATCTCATACATATTGATTCAATCATGCAACAATTCTAAATAATAACAGCATGTCTATAGAGAACAGATTGTGTGAAATTCACAAACAAATCAAATGAAGATAAATAAGACCAATAACATGAAATCAAATAAATTTAATTATCTAGAGAGAGAGATTATTAAGATACACCAAGTGAGAAGAACTGGTGAGCTGTGTCCTAATATACAATTACCCTGAAATCAACACAATGAAACAAAAATTATCAAGTTGTTAAAGAAAATCGTTGAGGAATACAAAAAACAAAGATATATACTACTAGAATGTCATTCACCAAAATTGAAAAATATTAAGGTGCAAAATGGAAAGAAAGAACCAGATGAGAAAACCCTTCATAAATATCTTGGAAAACTATCATAAATATCTTGGAAAACTATCTAATCCGCATCAAGCAATATCAAATTTGAAGTTTATTGTAGTCCCAAGCAAAAGCAACAAATGAGATAATCATTGAAATTGATGACGAAAAATCCCATTTCTCAGGGTACTCTAATTCCGCAAAGACCAAGTAAATGAAAGACTAAAGCCATACCCAAATAAACATACTGAGTAGCATGAGACAAAGAAAGATGGGTCAAGATTACACATTTTATATCCAGTCTGTAAGAAATTCACAACAAAATAATGCACAATAAAATAAACACCAATACTATGGCTTAATTACAGGAGCTTACGTCCGTTAGTGTACATTTGAAGGGATCAGTCCTAAAAGACCCGTAAGAAGAAACAAAATGACACGGAGCTTTAACGATTTCCGGAGTGAGCTATTACACACCCAGAAAACTCAGACCATCAAGATAACATGTCCATATTTCTTTGGGTAATTTTGTCGAACACGTGAGATACAAAACTTTGGAAACTGATTGAACTAATCTGCAATGGGCCTAACAAGTGATTAAACTAATCTGCAATAAGGGTATTTGCAAAATCAACAGTTGGGTGGTGGTGGCGACAGACAGAGGGTTGGTGAGGAAGAAGGCTCTGATGCCGCTGGCAGGGGATGGGCAGCAGCGTTTGGCTCTGACGCCGCTTACTGCGGGTGTGCAGTGGCATAGAGGGAAGAAGACAGTGGGACAAATTGGGGTGTAAGTTGGCGGGCCAATCCGAAATATGGTTTGAATTAGAATTTTTAATATTTAGGTTGCTCGTGGGTTGAAAAAACTCCAATTCGAATTGAATTTAAGAAAACCTAAGGCCGACGCCTCAATTCGAATATTAAAATCAGATTGAATTCAAATATACATAAATATATAAATATATTTAATTAAGGTTAATATTTACCTTCACTCTTTAAAGTCTAAACTTTTATTTCATTTTAAGTTTTCACTCATGCGCCTCCATCATTCTCAGATCCCTCTTTTTGTCACTCTTCCTCCCTCTCTCAGCATCCCTCTCTCAATTGTCACTTGTCTGAGTCGTCTTTAGGCTCTTAACCTCCCTCTCTCACTTCCTCTATCTTCATCTACGTCTCGCCCTTCATCTCAAATCACTTGAAAAAATTAGATCTATACTTGAAAAAAATCAAATCTATACTTAAAAAAACCAAGTTGAATTAAGTAACCCAAGCCAACCTGACTTTAACCCGAAATCAGTCCATATTAAGTAATCCGAATTCAACACAAACCCACGCTGAATTAAACTCGGACAGTACTCGAATTGAGGTAGGGTTTGGTTTAAGATTAGGGTCGAATATTATATACTTAAGGTTGGATTATGGTTAACCTCTCAACCCGCCTAAGCTGCCCGAGTTGCACCCATAGGCACAAGGAGAAAGAATAGAGAGAGAGAGAGAGAGAGAGAGAGAGAAATATGTGCCTGGGTAGAGACATTGGCTGGCTGTGACTTTGTTGTTGGCAGATGAGCAGTAGCATAAAGAGAATAATTGAACCAAAAAAGGAATCAAATCCATTGAATATAAAACCTAGTTCAAACACTAAAGAGTCAATTATAAATCCCAAGTCATAAAGAGAGAGATGAAAAAATGAGGCCAAGAGAACATTTCATCGAACAGGTGTGAAAAGGGAGGAAAGGGTGGAGGCAATAGTCGGATGAGGGTTTGAATGTAACAGTGATGGGGAGAGAAAGGGGTGTACATGATGGTTGGCCAGGGGTTTGGAGGCAAACAGTGGGATGTGGTGGTGGTGGGGGAGGGGGTTTGGAGGCGATGGCGCTGTGTGTTGGTAGGGTGTGTGTGTGTGAGAGAGGGAAAGAAAGAGAGAGAGAGGAATTGTGTGGCGTTTGAAGGCGAATAATAGTGGATGGAGTTGGAAGGGGATGGCTCTATGGCGTTGGCAGGGTGTGGGTGCGTGTGAGAGAGAGAGAGAGGGGGAGAAAGAGAGAGGAAGAGAGATAGACATTTATGAGAGTGATATAGAGAGAGAACGTTGCGTATATGAGATAGCCTGACATAGAAATGTGTGAGAGATGAGAGTTTAGAGTTAGACATGAAATGAAACTCTGAGCTCAATTTAGGACTGTTAGATCAAGAATTGTTAAATAGTTTAGTCGCAAAAAGTTCAAGATAAATTTTTTTAACTAATTTATTATATAGACTAGTTATTACCAGTGCCTGAAAGCACTATATAACAAATAAAAAAATCTTAAACAATTACCTAAATTTAAAAAAGAATGACCTAAAAATATTCATATTAATTCTTCTTCTAAAATGGCTTAAAATTTATCGTCGACCATATATATATAATAAAGTAGAACAAAGTTTGAATCCAAAAGACAAAGAGAAATTCAGATTGTTTTGAGACAAAACATAAACAAATCTAACGGACAACATAATCCCAACATAAAAGACGATTCAGATCTTCTCAAAAATTTTGATCTAACGGTGTACAGTGATTACCGAATTTTATTTTTCCGCGCCAACAATTTTAAGAGACCTTTAATTCTAAGACTCTAAAGTCTCCCCTCTTAACTTAAAATACATCTCTCTCGGTCTCATAGTCTATCTGTGAAATCTTCTCCCGTATCTTTCTCCTCTCTTTTCTCTTTGCAAACCGGAGCTACCAAAGACCAACCGCCCAATAACCAGCGGAACCACCACCAAGGTACTCCTTCCTCCCCTCATTCTCTCTATGCTTCTTATCCCCCACCCACCTCCATGACAACCACCAACGAGCTTTAAGGGAACCACCAATGACGCCAATCACAGCCCCCTAACCACCTCACATTGACCCCATTGAAACCCCCAAACCATCGCCAAACCAACCCCACTAAAATCACTCCAAGATCACAGCATCTCCTACCACAACCCCCCCAACCACCCCCACACCCGAAACCCTCAAATGAGCCCCATTAAAACCCCCAAACTAGACCCACCACCGAACCCCTAAAGCACCGCTAAATCATCCTCACAGAAAACCACTCCAAGATCGTAGTATCTCTGAACCACACACTTACATACAAATTTCAAATTACTTTGTGTACGGATTTTGTGTTTGGTTTGTGTAACTTTGTTTGGTTTGGATTATTTTATATATTAAATTATTTTTTGACATGTATTCATTCGGGTGTTGATTGATTTTGATTATGATGATTTTTTTTCTTTTTGTAGTTGATTGAATTGCTTTATGAGATTTGAGATTGGTGATGGGAGTTTGCTAATTTTGATTCGGATTTCTTGATTTTTTCAGGGATTTGGGTACACCCTACTATGCCGCAACAAAGCTTTTGAAGTGGAACTATGAGTCAGAGGTTGATATATGGAGTGCTGGTGTGATTCTTTATATTTTATTATGTGGGGTTCCACATTTTTGGGCAAGCATTATTCATTGCCATAGTATATACCTTCATTTTCTCTAAAATATCCTTTTTGATTTACTATGTTTCTAAGTACATAGTTTGTTAAGTTATAGTTTTTGGTTAATACAATTTTTCAGAAAACAAATTTTTATAGAAAGTGACCTTAAATCATGTGTTTGACCAAATTGAGATGAGTTTTTTTAATCTTTCTTGAGAAAAATGAAGCAACATGAAGCCTTATAGATAGAATTTTGTTTTAGTTTGTTTTGTTGTTACTAAAATCAATAGTTTCCTGTTTTCTATTGAGAATAGCAAGATGAGGAATGAGTGGTGGTCCATAGAGTCTCTCTTGGTCTCACCCTCTTGCCATCCCCAAAATCCCACTGCTCCAGCCCATACCACACCAGCTCACAGCACCAACCAGTGATGCTCCTCTCTTTTTGTAGGTTTGCTGTTTGATGTCGGTGGATTTTTCATTAATCCTTCTATTTTTCATTATTTGTTGTGTCACTCATTATTTTATAATCTTCTTTTTCAAGTGCAAATATCAATGGCACCTCAAGTGTGGTAAATGTACCAAACCGAAATAGGTACATAAATCATGCAATACATTGATTGTTGCTTTTGGTTGATTCAATTCCAGTGAAAAATTTTGTTAGATATTTTATGCTATGACTTGATTTTATCTATATAGTTAAAACTATATGATATGTGTTTATGGAACACTATCCTTGCATGTTGGGATATGACTTTTTTTTTTTCCAATAAAATCTATGTCTTTTTCTAAGTTCAAGATAAGGGATTATAAGTTATGCAACATCTTGATATTGGACATTCGTGATTTGATCACATTGCTAATTATGTGCATTGAATAGGTTTAATCTTGATTTAAAGGAATAATAGCAAGGGATTAAATTGTTTATAGGCAAGCCTGTAAACAATTATTTAAATGCGGTCAATCAAAATTGTGGAGCTACGTAAACACATAAATCAATATTGAGAATTCCCAATGAGTTTGTGTAATTCCTTAATTTCTCTCTACCTTGACTAAAGTATAGAACTCAATAGTTGGGATTTGACACATAAATTAAACTCTTATATTTTTTTTCTTTTCTTGCTATTGTCTTATTATGTAGAATTTATTTTGATATAGATGTGGGCTATAGATATATGGGTGAATGTCTTTTTCAGTAAATAGTTATTGTGTTCTCTAGTGTTGATCCGAAAGCAGTAGTACATAGCTTGCACAAAGTGGGGCAACCAAGAGTATGAAGTTCTTCAAATGATTTGAGTGTCATGACGAATGGAGAGAATATTGATCTCTACAACGGAAGCATGATATTGATAATTGCATGAAAACTTGCTTCTTCAGCCATTGTATCCATTTAGATTGTACGCTAATGTCTATTAAGTTTATTTCACTTCTTTGGTTTTTTTTTTGGTAGAAAATGAGAAATTCCTTATGGAGTATGACGGTCAAACTGTAAAAACATACTACTCGAATCAGTGAAACTTAAGAACTAATGGTTCTCTGAGAAGACTCAAGATTTTGCTCAAAGCTCCAGCACACAAACAAACATACATATCTCATTTTCAGCGCACAGCCACTCACTTTTTCTTTTTGGTTCTGTGAGAAGATTCAAGAGATTTGGGATGTGATTCTCCTTCAAGGTCAATTGTTTGATCTGGGTTTTTGTTTAAATTTCCTTCCCATATGATAAATTTCTATATATGTGTTTGTAATATTAGTTCTTAATGTGAATGTTAATATAGCTTTGATTTGTCTCCACTTTTTCACTGGATATCTCTTTCTAATTAAAGGTTTATTTTTTATGAGAATGTTGATACGGGTTTTGTAAAATTATTTTATAATTTTCTTTCATTTATTTTAAGTTCTATTTTATGCACATGATGATTTTGCATATAACCAATTTTTGTTTCTTTTTCTTTATTTTCTTTTTAGAAGCCTCCAAATATTCAAGTGCATAAGGAGAATAATGAAATTAAAGTTGGTGTTGAAGAGTCACAAAAAGCCTAGAAACAATACTGGTGGCTTCTTTTAAAGAACAAACTCTCTTCTCCCTCATCAGTCAGCCTGGGCGACGTGTGTGTTTTGAGTTTTAATTTTCATATGGAAAAATGTGTTTGTTCTGAATTTTTTGAGTTTGCATGATAAGTGTATTATTTTAGTTTTTTTCCGTGGTTTAAGGAAGCACAAGTTTGTATCTCTATTTTTCTATGCATTTTTTATTGTATATTTTTCTATGCATTGGTATGTATGTTTTAATGTGTCTTTATTTGATGTATTTGATAATTGTTAGATGTTCTAAGGTTTTTCTTCATTTTCAGTTGGATTTAGATTTCCGTTTGTTTGTTTAATTATGTGTGGATTCTTGATGGTTTGACGATCCACATTATTCGATTTGTGAGTTGTTTCATTATTTGCAGATGGAATGTTTTATATCAATTTGATTGGATTAAGTTAGGATTTCCTTGATTCGATATTATCCTCTTTTAGTTTTTCATTTGTGTTTTGGGTCATGATCTATGTTTATATTTTTTTGAATTGAACTCTTTATGATTAATGTTACAATTAGTGAAAATCAAAATCAATATAAAGGTTTGTACTTTTATTGAAAAATTGTATTATGAGACATGGTTAGCCATGAAGAATAAGTATTTTTCTAATTGGTTGGGCTGTGGAGTTGAATTTGATTTGATTGGATTGAGATGAAATATCAGAGAAAAGGAAATAAAAGAACTTAATTTATTTAAAATTGCGTGATTTTAGAAAATAAAAAAAAAATTGCTATAGAATATTTGTATTATACAATTAGTCCTTGATTTGTTTGTTTCATACAAGTGCTTTCAGGCACGGACAATCACTAGTCTTCTATATTAATAAAATTGTCATAAAAATATATAAAAAATTTTCAAAAACAACACTATATATACAAATGCCTATGAGAAAAAAAATATTAACATAACCCATTAAAATTTACAATCTTTAAGTAATAAATAAAATAAATAAATTCTTACTTATTTATAAAATTTACGAATTTATCACATTTTCTATCACTCAATCAAATAACACAATATAATTATAAATTCAACTAACATATTTCAAATCCATCATATTCCCATGTAATAAATATCTTAAGCAAAAAAAAAAAAAAACTTAGATAACACAATTAATTTCACAATCTTTAAGCGATGAATAAAATTAACCAAATTTTGTTCATTTCAAAACTCATCAATATATCATCACTATCACCATTCAACTCCAAATGACACAATATAATTATAAATTTAATCACAAAATGTCCAATTCTCCACATATAAAATATACACAGAAACACACTCACACATTTGTTTTTGGTTGCCAACAAACCACCTAACCAATAACTGCTCAAAATTTTAAAATAAAATAATAATAAATTAATGTTTAATTAAAAAATTGAGTAAAAATCATGGACATCCCCTGAGTTTTGACAATATTACATGAAGACCTCCTGACACTTTATAAATAACATAGAGACTTCCAGAGGTTTGAATTCATTAAATGGAGATCCTCTCTTTTTTCCTTTTGTCAATGTTACTAATAAAAATTTATAATTTGATTCCAAAATTTTTTATTATTTTTACAATTGTACTTCTCCAAATTTAGTATTAAAAAAATTAAAAATTTAATAAAATCAAATAAAATTTGATTTAGTACCCAAAAAATTGATATAATTTAGTACTCCAAAAAATTGATTAAATGAATTTCAATATTAATTTGATAACAATAAAAAATAATTTGACAAAGTTTAATATAAATTGGAAAAAAATAAATATTAATTTTTAATAAAATTATATATTAATTAATTTACAATCTAAGTTTCATTCCATGCTGAATATTATTTGGTATTTATAGTCAACGTGCTATTTTTTTATTTATATTAAGGGTTATTTACAAATTAAGAAGCAAGTGATAAAATATTTGCCGTCATATATATAAAAATTTTAAATTAATTTTATGAAATAAATAATCATATAATAAATAATAACAAAAATAATATTGAAAAACAAAAAAATAGATAATAGTATGAGAGAGAGTGTAAGATAGATCGATAGAGAGAGAGAGAGAATTATATCAGAGATATTAGTTTTAAAATTATAAAAAGAATGAAAGTCTAATTAAAATTATGTGAACCGTAAAAATTAAAAACAAACAATTTAGTTATTTTTAATATAAATTTATTCAATGGAAAAAGAAAATCTATAAAAAGGCCGGGCCGGCAGGCCCATGGTGGCATTTATTGTCCTCCAAGTGGGAAGATATGATGCCATACAGAGTGGTTTTGTGTCGGTGCACGTTTGTTGTTTTTACATTGATCAGTGATCACCATCACCATCTGCTCCTCTTTGTCTTTTCAATTTGGTTAGTATTAACACATTTTCATGCTTAATATCATCACTATTGGCAATTAGACCTCGTCAAAACACACACTGCACGCAGTTTAACTCTCAACTCTTAATTGGGTTGGTGGGTCACCTTTCAAATGACCCTCTCTCTCTCTCTCTCTCTCACACACACACACACACACATGCCAGCCTCTTTCCCTAGTTTGAATGAGTTGAATATGTAAAGTTAAAAGCTCGAACAACGAACTGTTTCAGTCTCAACTCAAACACCTTTCGTTATCACTTTACTCTTTTAACATAACGAGCTTCAAAATCTAGTTTTTCTGAACCAGATCCATAGACCCAGTAAAAAGGTACACCTTTCAATCCATTCAGTAATATGAATATGAACTTTGTAATGTTTTGATCTGCCTTTTAGCTAAGACACGGTTTGTTTTTTGCTTCTGCTCTGTCTCAGTTGATTTTTGGCCTGCTTTCGATTTCTTTGCTTTTTTTTTTTTTCCTTTTTGGCTGTGTTAGATTTTAATGATATTGAACTGTTTGAGATCACTAAAGTTTTGAAAAGTTGTTATTAGCTCTTTTTAGTACAAACTAACTACTATTCCTAATTTTGGAAATCACATGGAAAGAAGTTGCTTTCTGGGTTAGTTTTTGTTTTAGAATTCTTGATCTGATTTATTGCTTTCTTTGTTTTCTCCTTGGGTGTTTGAAGCTAAGCTTTATCCTTTTTGGTTTATAAGATAGTGTGGTCTCATTATTATGGATTTGGCAATTGAAATTGGATACTGGATACACATTTGCCAGAATTAATAGAGAAAAAGATTTTCTTTGGAGTATATGGGTACTATTTAAAAATTCAGCTGAATTTTGGGAAAGTCTTGTTAAAGTGACATTAATCCTGTCCTTTTTAAAATAAAAGGGGCTTTCATCAAGATGATTTATATTGAAATTCAATTATCTGATTCATCTAATAATTGAAGAATTTAGGTCCTTGAAATTTGGTCGAATGTTTAGCAGACATGACAGATTTGGATTTTTAATTAGTTTGGTCAAATGTATGAATAAAGGAATTTCAATAAATTTCTCCTTTTATCTGCCCCATCAACATATTGGATGTTTGCAGTAATAACATATTCATTTTTTATAGAAGGTTTCTCACGTATGCAGTTTGTTTGTGTAAATGTATTGGAACATGTACATGTGTAAATATTATTCTTCCCACATTACTTTTCTTTCTTGTAGAATTATCAACCACTAGCCAATCATATCCATTGAATGGGCTGCTTGCCTTGGTTATAGATACACTATACATAAGGAACTTTGAATTATAGACATAAGATAATATCCTGGTGAATGATGTGAAACTAAGCCTTTGATATGCATACAAACTTCCATTTTGTGCTAGAAGTTGTACACTTGTATGCATTATTTGGGTGATGTGCCATCATTTTGTTTGATTTGAGTGTCGACTATACATATGCCACTAAGTGTCTTAGATCTGAAATTTTAATGCCCCCAGGATGCTTTTCATTTGCATGAACGTCCCCCTAGCTGATTGTCATTTTCTCCATTATCCGATGCAGTTTTCCAATAGCTACTTGATTTTTGTTTTAACTAGTTCTTGATTTGTTCTCTGTTTCCAACAGTCAACTGATATAAAGTGTTAGACGTTTATATTTACAGACTTCAAACTTTCTGGTTTGGCCTTTTCAGGCATATAGCATAAGAATACTGAAGCATGGCTTTGGGAAAACATTCCCGGGTCGATGGAAGAAAGTCATCAAGCTGCTGTTCAACTGTTACTGTTGTGGTGTTTGTTGGTTTGTGTTTAGTTGGGGTTTGGATGTTGATGTCATCCACTGTTGTTCCTGTTCAGAACTCTGACTTGTCTTCCCAGGGGACTAAAACTGAGGTGAAACAAAAAATATCTGAAAAATTTTCCAGGCAGTTTGCAGATAGTTCAGGAGATTTATCTGAGGATGGAACTAAGGAAGAGGGTAACCCTGGAAAATCTCAGGATGAGAACAATTCTGATACAGAGTCTGAGAATACTGTCAAGGAAATCCAAGAAGAGAAATTTAGGAAGGAAAGCGCTGAAGGAAGGACAGAGAGTGAAGAGGAATCTAAGGGAGATGCTGAAAATGATGGAGATGGAGATGGGAAAAGGGAGGACAAAGAGTTTGTTTCAGGAGGTGGGGAATCACATTCAGGGGATGAGTTCGGTGGTGGGCAGCTAAATTCAGGAGGCGGAGAATCAAATTTGGATGGCGAGGAGTCAAATTCAGGAGACACAGAATCAAATTCAGAAGGGGGGCAATCAAGTTTGGGAGACACGGAGCCAAACATCGATGGCAAGGATACAAGAAATGAAGATGGTGAAACAAGTGAGGAGAAGGTTGATGAAAATCAAGATACCAATTCCGAAGAAAGCTCCAATACTAACAAGATGGATCACCAGGCAAAGGACCAGGCTTCAAATGAGGTTTACCCTTCTGGGGACCAGTCTGAGATATTAAATGAAGCTACTACTCAAAATGGAGCTTGGAAAACGCAAGAGGTGGAGTCTGAGAATGAGAAGGAATCACAAAAATCTTTATTGTCCAAGGGCCAAAGTGGACATAAGTGGAAACTCTGTAATGTTACTGCTGGTTCAGACTATATTCCGTGTCTTGACAATGTGCAAGCTATTAGAAAGCTGCCAAGTACTAAGCACTATGAACATCGAGAGCGGCACTGTCCAGATGGAGCTCCAACTTGCCTTGTCCCTCTACCTGAGGGATACAGACAGTCGATTAAGTGGCCTAAAAGCAGAGAACAGGTATATCTTATATCTGCTGGCAATATGAAAGCTTTTGTAATTGTGGCTTATTCGGTGTAAAAAGTTATTCTGGTTACTCTAATGATAGAAAAATCTCATGGCCATTTTTTATTCAGGTTGAAATGGTTTATTTTTGCTCATTTTGCAGATATGGTATCATAATGTTCCCCACACCAAGCTTGCAGTGGTTAAGGGACATCAAAACTGGGTTAAAGTTAGTGGTGATTACCTTACTTTTCCTGGTGGTGGGACTCAGTTTAAGAATGGCGCCCTTCATTACATTGATTTAATCCAGAAAGTTAGTGTTTCTCTTTTTAATCCTGCCATGCTGCCTCTTTCCATCCATAATTCCATAGTTTAGTTTCTGAAGTAACTGTGGCTTCTTGATATATCCATATACATATTTATTGATTCTGATGAGATGAATTTTTTTAATTTTACCTTCTGTAGTATGTATTCCGTTTTACACTAACAGGTACTCTATAAGTGCACATATGCGTTGAGTGACTGCATGCTTATTGTAGCTTGTTCCTGGTTTTTACAGCCAAAATTCAAAGAAGATTCTGTGTAACATACTAACTTGTAGGGAGAATATTTACCGATTAAGTACATACATGGAAGTCCTTACATTTATCAAGAACATACATGGAAGTCCTTACACTTATCATTTTGAATAGTTGACTAATCCCTTCATCTATCGATATCAGCTTTGGTAACATTGTAGTTTAAAATCATTGCCAAAGCCTCCTTAAATTACTCTGACCATTCACCTGGCCCTTTTTCCATTCTGCTTTTTCGTATTATATTTTGGTATGCATGTGGTCTTGATTGGGTATTGCTTCTATGATCAGTGTGCTTTTCACTCTTTTCTTTTCTTGAGATACTGGCTGAAGAATTTGCTTGTTCGGACTAGAATTGTCGGTTGTTATCAGTGAGTTCCATGTCAATGTTGGAGTTCCTCAATTTGTATCCTTGTAGAGATACTTTGGTGTCTACTTTGATGCACCTGTTTATGATGCTATCTCTTTGCTTGCCAATTGTGTAGATTCAATAGTTACTACACAGGTGATGAGTTCTTCCTCGAGCAAATGGCTTCCCTAAACTACTACAACCAATATGTCCTCAGAATTTTGCCATCTTGACCTTACTTTTAACAAGCTATCCGATGCCTAATTTCTTCGGTTCCCCTCTGCATGACTACTTAACTGCGATTATGTTTCAATATTGTAGGAATTGCTTGTCATGGGAATTGTTATCTTGCTGTTATGGCTAACATCTGGATATCTTATTTCTCAATGCAGTCCCTTCCTAATATTGCATGGGGGAAACGTAGCCGTGTTGTATTGGATGTCGGGTGTGGTGTGGCTAGCTTTGGAGGATACATGTTTGAAAGGGATGTTCTCGCGATGTCATTTGCTCCCAAGGATGAACATGAAGCCCAAGTGCAGTTTGCGCTTGAAAGGGGCATCCCTGCTATATCAGCTGTTATGGGTACCACAAGGCTACCCTTCCCAAGTAAGGTCTTTGATGTTGTCCATTGTGCACGCTGTCGAGTCCCTTGGCATATTGAAGGTGAAGTTTGCATCTATTTCAGATCAAATCTTTGTTTCTGCAAAGATTATTTTCAGTTGTAGGAAGTCATTTTAAGTTGTGCTACAGGTGGTAAACTCCTCTTAGAGCTGAATCGTGTCTTGCGACCTGGTGGTTACTTTGTGTGGTCTGCTACTCCGGTTTACCAAAAGCTGCCTGAAGATGTTGGCATTTGGAAAGGTAGAGTGCTTGTTAGTCTAGTTTATACTTCTCTTATATGGGATTCTCGAATTGCTTATAATTATCTCTCTCTGTGCAGCTATGACTGAACTAACAAAGTCAATGTGCTGGGACCTATTTGTGATTAACAAGGATCAAGTGAATAGTGTGGGTGCTGCAATATATAGAAAACCTACTTCTAACCAATGTTACGAGAAAAGACCGCAAAATGAGCCACCATTGTGCAAAGAAGCTGATGACCCAGATGCTGCTTGGTATAGTTTTCAGCAACCCATTTTTTCGGTTCTGGTGTTCCTTAATTGAGTCTGTAATTGGGTTACTGATATTGGCTACAAGACTACAACAGCCAATGGTAATATAAGTTCAGAAAAACACAGTAACAATGAGCATAGTTCTTGTTATGGATGTCCCCACATCAAGATCGGTAACTATAAATCTTTATGGATGTACAGGAACAAAAAGTTAGCTAAACATGCTCTGCCACATAGGGCAATAATGGCACTGCATCTGAGGCTCTTAATATTCCATATCCTAGGTATGCCTATAATTCATAGGGTAAAAAATAATTCACAGTTCTGGAAAACCTGTTTGTAGAGGAAGCGTGCTAAAGATATTTATGGGTTCTTTCGTATTTAGATTTTGTACTTGGTATATGATTTTGGAAACATCAGCTGGTACTTTCACTGAAAACAATGGACTCCTTTATATTCGTTTTTCAGCTCAAAGTTCTGGTTGACGAGAGCTTGTATTTCTCATTGGAAAGTTAAGTACATCCAAGGTTGGTTTAAATACTGAAAGGCCACTCCACCAATTGTCAATTAGTTTTGGGTTGAATGCTTTAGCATATGGTATTAGAGCTAGTTCTTGAGGGGTTGGTGGGCCAAGTTTCTCATCCATTTTAATTCTCTGTCTATATCCGCTCTATTCATCAGTGTGTCTCAGAATAGTTTGTTAGCCCACATTCAACCTCGGATCACATGTTAGGGAAATTGTGAAGAGAGCTTGTATCCCAGATCAAAAAGATTCTCCCAAGGTTGGCTTGTGTATTGAGGGGCCACTCCATTCATTACAAATCGAATTTGGCTCGGATACTCTTAACATTCTGTAAATCTTTATGCTGAACAAAGGCCCCGTTCAATTTGCACTCGGGGGGTTGGGGAGGGGTGAGGTTGTGCTTGGTTGCAATGTGTTTGCACGTCACTGTTCTGTTACATTGTTTTGACTTGTGATAAGCATATATGAAGTGCACACATCTTTTGTCTTTTCTTTGTGATATATGTAAACTGAAGCTCCATATTGTCAGTTTTGATAAAAGGTTTACCGCTTCTGTTGGTTGATTTAAGGGAAAAATTCAAATACAAACAGCAATATTCAAGTATGTCAAAAAAAATGATCTTAAGATTTTCTCGATGAGCACTATACCATACACAAAAAGTTGTCTAGTTGGCCATTGAAGTCTCTCTGGTCTCTACGATGATGCAACTGCTTCATTGACTGCCTTAATTTGTGAGTCCACTCAACACAAGTGTGATTAATTGTTTTTTGTGCTGTCCATTCAGGAATATAAAGCTTCAGGCATGCATGCACAAAATACCACTAGCATCTGAACGTGGATCACAATGGCCAGAGCAATGGCCTCTAAGATTGCAGAAACCGCCTTATTGGTTGAAGAGTTCTCAGGTTGGAGTTTATGGCAAAGCAGCTCCAGAGGACTTCACTGCTGACTATGATCACTGGAAACGCGTGGTATCCATGTCATATTTGAATGGGTTGGGTATCAACTGGTCTTCAGTGAGGAATGTCATGGACATGAGAGCTGTATATGGAGGGTAAGAGTTTGTGTTTTTATTGTTCCAGAAAGAAAATTGGCAAGGTTGGCATGGTCTAATTACATTCAGATGACAAGTCACCACTAGTCATGCTTTTCATAGAAGTAATTGACGTCCGGGGATGAATTTGATCTTGTGCTTGAAAATTTTGCGGTCTTTTCATTTAGATCCCATAGGATTGTCATATTGTCCTGTGAGACTAGGAACCTGCTCCTTGCATTTTCTTTACCTTAACTCTTGTGGAGTGTATCCTGATTATGCATTTTGTATATGCTTTTAGATTTGCTGCAGCACTGAAAGATCTGAATGTCTGGGTTATAAATGTAGTCCCAATTGATTCACCAGACACACTTCCAATTATATATGATCGTGGCCTGTTCGGGATATATCATGATTGGTGTGAATCATTCAGCACTTATCCGAGATCCTACGATCTTCTTCATGCAGATCATCTTTTCTCTGATATTAAGAAAAGGTTAGCTTGCACAGCACATTCCTTGGTTTTAGACTTTCAGTCCTCAGCTAGGACATTCTTGGTCACTACTGTAAATTAATATGAGGGATGTTTATCTGGCTGCAGATGCAAGCTAGTGTCAGTGATTGCAGAAGTTGATAGGATCCTGAGGCCCGAAGGGAAGTTGATTGTGCGGGACAATATTGAGATCATAGGGAGGTGGAGAACTTGGCCAAGTCTCTACAGTGGAAGATCCGGTTGACTTACTCAAAGAATAACGAGGGATTGCTGTGTGTTCAAAAAACAAAATGGCGTCCAACGGAAGCAGAGACAATTATGTCAGCCATTGCATGAGCATAGTGCTTTAATTCCCACGTTTGAAATTTCATCACTTCTGATAATAGGTATTTTTTTTTTTGCTGTTCTTATCAGAAGCCTTCTAATATAAGCATGGTTACAATAGCTTTTTAATTTCTATCACAATATGTATTTCTGAGATTGCTCTAGTAATACATCTCAGTTTCATCTTTTTTCTGCCAATTTTCATGCCTTCCTTTGAATCAATGGGATTGGCTTCGGAGTTTCGACGACTGTAAAGTCACATTGTATTATTTTATATCAATGAATATCCCATCCAAAAGTGCACACATGTCTCGTCTTACAAACATCTGTCGTATGTTACATGAATTTCTATTGTCACTTTCTTGCTGCAAAATTGATCTTGATACAGTTTTGATCGATCTTAAGGTGGAAGTCGACTCATCACAAAATTCTTTTGGCTTCTGAAATGGTTGTCTCTAGCTATGCTTCTTGACATCTTAAATAGATTCATGGACTTTTTCTCTTCCTCTCGCTGTAGATCAAATAACCCCAAACTTGGTTGCATGTTATCCTGGTAACATTGTAACCCCCCTTAGCATTTTGATTAGAAATGGATTATAGATTCATCACTCACCATTATGTTCCGTTTGATAGGAATGATGAAAAGTAGAAAGAATGAAAAATAATAGGGACACATTTTTTATCCTTAAAGGATAGAAAGTAAGAATGATATATTTTCCTTCCTTTGTGTTTAGTTAGATGGATCAAAAATAAAAATTACTAATTTTTTTTTGTGCCAGTTAAGATTAGGGGGGGACAATCGAGTCGTGTTAGGTTCATGTTGAGTAATAAAATTATGAGTTTTTTGTATTTTTTGTTCGCGTTTTCGGTCATTTTTAAGTTCGTGTCATAAAATTCGTGTCGAGTTTAAGTCAAGTCATTGTGTTGAGTCGAAAATTTTTACCCCTAGTTAAGATGGAAAAAATATTTTTTTTAATTTAATTTTTTTAATTTTTAATTTTTTAATTTATTTTTAAAATATATATATATATACATACATATTTTATCATTGTATGTTTATATGAAATTAATGTATATATATTTTATATATAATAAAGTATCTTACAATTCAAATTTCAAAAATAAATAAAATGACTTTTGCTATTCGTGGTTGAGATTATTTTATATTTTATTTTAAAGTTAATCTAACGGTTAATATTAACACCTTAAATTTAAAAGAAAAAATAGGCTTCTAAAGGTATATTTGAAATTACTTTTTAAAAACACTTCTAGAAATTATTTATCATAAATACTTTAAAAAAAAAAATAGCGTTTGAAATTGTCCCACCACTACCTCTACCACCACCACCACCATTGTTGCCGCCGCCATCGTCGTCGTCGTCGTCATCGCCACCGCCACCGCCACCGCCACCGCCACCGCCACCGCCACCATCACCATCACCATCGCCACCACCACTGTTGCCGCCGTCATCGTCGTTGTTGTCCCCACCGTTATCGCCATCGCTGCCACCACCACCACCACCATTGCCACCACCACCACTGCCCCCAACACCACCCCCATTGTCGTCGCCGGCATTGCCACTGCCGTCACCACCGCTGCCATCGTCGTCGCCACCGCCACCACCCTCACCATCGCCGTCGCCACCACCATCATCATCGCCAACCCCACCCCCACCACCACCATCACTGCTGCCCTTGCCGCCACTACAGTTATTACCACCAACCATAACCATCACTGTCTCCTACCATCACTACTGTTACCCACCACTTCTCACTGTAAAATAATGCTTAAATTTTTTTATCTTTTCTCTATATTTATAATTTGATTTTGAATATATATACAAATATATTTATTGTTTATCATTTTTTATTACTCTGTGCCTTTAGGCACAAACAATAACTAGTAGACAAATAAGATACATTTCAACACAAATAATTAACTTTTCATCAATTTTCTTTCCGATTTTAGAGGGATTGATTTTAGTGAGATGGAAGGAAAGTTAATCCATTCACTTTTTCATCATTCATATTTTCTTTTCTTATCAAACATGATGTTTTATTTATTTCTCTAATTTTTTATCTTTCTAATTTTTTATTTTTCAATCATATCAAAAGAAACATTAATAATGTCTTATATACTCATAGGGCTGGCTCTGAGAATGTCATGTCAGGGTCGTATCAAATTTAACTATCGTTGTGTTAAAATGTGTTCAACTTACAATTGATCCGTTTATAGTCATTTATGATCAAGTTTTTGAAGTGTTAGGTACAAGTCTTGTGCAGTTCGGTTTATGTCGTTTGTGGCAGGATATTGATGTTGTCCCATTTATTAATTGGTTAATGTGATTATTAATTAGGACTGCTCGGCTAATCTGGTTTTGAACTTTGTAGGCTGCGTTTGCACCCTAGTGCTACTAAGATAGCAATACTATACAAATACATAAATCTAATAAACTCATTTTGCTAGCGGGTATGTCATGTCAGCATTGTTTGCTACATCAACAACTTAAGCATTGTAGAATAGCCACATTAACTACATTATAGATCACTATTACAAAACATAATATATCTTTATTACAAATTTAAGATAATAATAGTATGAAAGAAACTTGAAAAAATAGCAGAATAGAGTGGCATGACAAACCAAATTTGTGTTGGAATATGTGACTAAAATCTTTCGATATTAATTAAGCCACAGTTGGTGGTTAAATCCGGAATATATAAAATCCAAGTCTGTTAGTTAAATATTGTATTATTCATGACATATATTATATATACATTTTTTGAGAAATTATTATGTATTAAATATTATTTTATAATAATACATGCATACATATATATTACATTGATATAATTGGGTGTTTGTGTTAGATCTTTTCTAGTCAACATGAGTGACTTGGTTAGAGAGACTCATCAAGTAGTGAAAGACTAGTCAATCCTGTTTGGAGAATTTTTAGCCTTCTTTGACCGTAGAGAGTTGAGGAAATATAGGTGGAGTTGAGAAAAATATTGGGAGAGTTGAAGATATTATGTTGAGTGGTAATAGCTAGTTGAACGGCTAACTGATATATCCTCTTTGATAAATAAGGTTCTCTGCATACAGAGAGAACACACCTGAAAACATTCAATTTGAGAGAAAACTCATTGAGAGAAAATCTCAACTATACTACTTTTATATCAAAGAGAATTTTTAATTCTCAAACACTAGCTCCCAATTCATCAAATTTATTAAGTTTTATTCTGAAAATTTCCTGCAATTTGTGCCTTATAGTTTACTTTAAGCTTTTGACATACCAAATTTGTCAATAGAACAGAGACCACATTATTGTATGTAAACTAGGCCCGATATTGTGGGGGGAAAGGTGCAAACTCCACCTTCTTACAGCTCTTCATGTCTAGAAAAGCCACCACAGTTATACCTAATCCTTCACCTGACATTCTTCTCAAGTTTAAAAACTTCCAGCAATAATGCAGGGGAAAGATAAGCTTGTGCTGCTGACTCTATTGATATGAAAGACTTTTTGGTTGGTTTTACATAATTATGTAGGCGAAGTTGTTAATATCATATTTTTAATGATTGAAAACCATTCTAACCATGTGTTTTTTCACTTGTTGCTACAACATAAACACAAGATGCCTGCAAAAAAGAGATATCTAGATACCTATGACGTTTGTAAAACTCAAACTTAGGATCTAAAGGGTACGGTATAGTCATATGAGCTACTTTGACGGATTTAAAATTGTTATGCCCATTCCATTTGGGTAATACCAATATTGTATATTTTGTTTCTTGTATATGCAACATCCAAAAAACCTCACCTCATTCAAACCGAACTTTTGTTTTTCTGTTGAATGCATCAACTCAAAATTAACAATACAAATATGTCATCGTCGCCAGCCCGTGGGAAAAAAAGCAAGTAAATTGTTTCTAGTGTAAAAAATATAACTCAAATGAGAAGATTTCAAGGGTTATTACCTCAAGACGTAATGTCCCAAGGTTGACTCCTACCCAGTGTGCCTAATGCACATATGTTTTACGGTGATTACTTATATACGAAATTTGTGTTGTAATTATGAGTTTAAAGGACACGTGGTTGGGAACCTTTTTTTTTTTTTAATAAGTAGTTGGCTGGATAAATTTTTACTATATAAATATGTGCATGTAGTTTAATAAATTTTATGATGTTAGACTTGAGTAATCTTGATCTTTAGTTTCAGGAAATCAATGTCAAAAGGATTAACAAGAAACCCAAGTAATGCTATTTGGACCTAAATTGTTGATATAATTGATTATTATCGTTGGATTAACAACGAGTTATAATAGTTTGATTGAATCATTTGACAATGAAATGACTCTGGTAAATTAGATTAACGAATTAAATCAATAAATTAGGTTGTTGTTTCACAAATGAAGAAAATGATTTGAAGTATAAAAGATTGGGAGAGAACAGTGTTTTTATATGCAAAGTAAGGATTAGTAATTGCTTTCACCACCATGGTTGCTCCATAAGAAAGGAAGAGCTGCCCAAATCACCACCTTTTCCCTTGAAATATGATTCTGTCACAGACAACTTACAGTCCTTATCTTTTGTGCCAATAAACAATTTTTGTTTGTTGGTAAAAAAGTGCACATAAAGTGCCAAACACCTTTATTTTTTGGGGTTCTTCTAAAAATTTGAACATTTACTTAGTGGGGCTTGTCTGCTTCTTAGCAACCTTAAAGTATGTATAAGGGGACTCTGCCCATGTTTGCATCATTGAACTTGGAAGTGCAAGAATTTTAGAAGAATATTCTCATAAAACACATGGTTTAATTTGTTTAACGATGCGTTGTACCCCTAATGGAGATGAATGTGTTTTGTTGAGGATATTCTAAGAGCCGAGCTTAATGTAATGTTAAAGTTGCTCTATTACAATTTA